TACTGCACTGAAGTACAGTCCCCCGCTCCCCCAGCCCCTAACAACCACCATTCTGCTTTCTGTTTCTATGCATTTGACCACTCTAGGTACCTTACATAACCTATTCAAGGTTCATCTATGTTATATCATAAGCCACCATTTCCTTTCTTTTTAAGGTTGAATAATATTCCATTGTATGTATATCCCACATTTTGTTTGTCCATTTATCCAACATTGGACACTTGGGTTGCCTCTATCCTGTAGCTATTATTGCTACCCTGTAGCTAAAATGTTGCTATGAACATGGGTGCACTGATCTGGAATATTTGAGGGTGCTCCAGAAATCTACATGTTTAATAAATACACATTAAAGTGTGTCAGTCAGGATTCCCAAAGGATAGATCGAGAAAATTGTGGGTCTGCTAATTCTAAGCTGCCTGTTCAGCAACCACTTTGTTACCTACAGTTCTAAATCCTAAGCAAGGTCAGAACAGCCTGGTCAGTTAGGGACAGGAGCCCAACCCTGCAAGGTGCCTTCCAAATCAATCAAGAGCATAAAGTTCGATCACGCTGGGAAGGCTATGCATCAGGAGGTCTGACCGGGGATGCATAAAGTACTCTTGACTTATACATCCCGAGGTACGACTGGGAAAACCCAGGGGGCCGAGGACCGATGTACAACAAGGGACCCCAGAAGCTGATCAGCGGAAAGCCTTGTTGATAAGATTGAAACCATGGCTGGGGAACTAGAGCTTGATCTCAATTACAATAGCAAGTCATCTAGCAGATGAGAAGTGCCTGGAGGTCAGACTCAAGACCCCTGACACTCTAGATGACAGAGCACATTTTCTAGTTTCACCCCTCCCTTTTCTCTTTTTCCTCCTTCCTCTCAACTGATGCAGGATAATTTTTCTATCCATAAAAAGGCCAGGATCTTGCTCTTCAGCAGCATCCTGCATTATGTAGCCTGCTCCACGACTCCCGCTGCACGACTCCCGCTTCTTTATCAGTGTGGTGTTGCCCGATGCAACAGAAAAATATTTAGTAGACCTCTGTATAATAGACACAGTATTATAGCGATGACTTGAGAAAGTCAATCCTTTTGCAATTTTATGAATCATCCCGGTTAGGTCAAGAGAAAGTCTTAATTTGCTGTTATTTATGTTGAATATCTACCTTCTCTTTTTAACAGAGATCAGCCTTCACATTTAGATCAGCCTTCAAATAGGTAGTGATATGAAGTATCAACACTGTTTTGTTTTCATTCTGTTAATCTGTGCCATTACACACTATCAACTGCAAGTGTTTTCCTATTTATGATAATGATATAAAGTTGCCTTTTAGTACATCTACTTAATGTCTTTGTTCACATCAAATCACTTTTTTTTTAAGATTTATTATTTATACAAGAACTGGGGTACAGTCAGAGGCTCAGGAGGGTGAGAGAATTCACCAGAGACAGAGCGAGGAATAGAACAGGCAGACTGACAGAAGACATTGCTGAGGGGAGCAGCAAGCGTGGCAGGAGAGGTCTCCTGCACCACGTGGGATTCTCACCAGCCGGCCAGGATCAAACCCACGCTGCAGGGGCTGCGGACAGCTTCATAGCACGGCACTCAACCCGCTGCGCCACCGGGGAGGCTCACATCAAGTCACTTTTAAAGCAAATAATATGACCAAAGATATGTGAGTATGGTGAAATCTGATATAGTGATATATCAATGAATGAGGTTTAGGAAATACTGCTTTGACAGACATTAACATTTGGATCTTGCTCTCAATGTTCTGTGCACAGAGAGCAGCACATGACCAATCTCCGTGATGGCTCCTATGTGGCAGAAATTTTAGGGGACATGCCAATTGAAAAAAAGGTTGAGGGCCTCCCCGGTGGCGCAGCGGGTTGAGCTCAATGCTGTGAAGCTGTCCACAGCCTCTGCAGCGTGGGGTCGATTCCTGGCTGGCCAGGGAGATTCTCGCATGGCATGGCAGACCTCTTATGTCGCACCCACTGCTCCCTCAGCAGTGTATTTCGGTCCTTCTGCCTGTTCTGCTCCCCGTTCTGTCTCTGGTGAATCCTCTCACCCTCCTGCACCTCTGGCCTATACCCCAGATCTTGCATAAAAATAAATAAATCTTTAAAAAAAAAAAAGGCTGAGAACAGGTGGAAGTATCCCAAGCAACCTCTGAAGTTAAAAATCGTGACCTAAAGCTTAGACGTGTGATATAGTCTAAGATGCTCTTTTTGTTCCTGGAATGAATTTCTTTCTCTTTTCCTTTAGCATAGAGTAAAATTACTTAAAACCATTAGCCTGCTCTGACTGTGATAAGGAGTCACCAACATGTTCAACAGTTGCAGATGGAATTAGAAATACCCCGAGAAAACATGCAATCAGCAGGCAGCTTTTCCCATCTGGAAACTCCTTGCACTCATATCTCCCAGGAATGGTCATGTTTAAGTAACAGGAGACTGCTCCTAACCATAGGACATGAGCTTGTGGTAGTAGCTCCTTGTACACAGCTTGTGCACAAGCCACAGTTCCTCATTAACCTCCGTTCTCCGAACACTACTGGCTGGCACTTATGGTCTCTCCCATGAATGAAAGAGGGGCAGAGGGCCTCCCTTAATCCAGGGGAGGGGTTAAGCACCACACTATGAAGCAATCCACAGCCACTGCAGCATGAGTTCGATCCCCAGCCAGCCAGGAAGATACCTACATGGCACAGCAGACCTCTCCTGTCTCACCCGCTGCTCCCCTCAGCAGTGTACTTCGGTCAGTCTGCCTGTTCTGCTCCCCACTCTGTCTCTGGTGAATCCTCTCACCCCCCCTGCACCTCTGGCCTGTACCCCAGCTCTTGTATGCATAAATAAATAAATCTTTTTTAAAAAAGAAAGAAAGAGGGGCAGAGACTGGCTCCAGTCACACAACTCAGGTTCAAACTCAACCTCAGGTCACTTGGGCTTCCAAAGCTGCCTCCTCACATTATTTTGTCCAGCTTTGCTGTGTCCTTAGCTTCAAGCTCCGTGGATGATTTCTTTTCCTTCTGGTTTCAGAAGCAGAGACTCAGAAGAACATGGAGGCAAACAGCCCCATTGAGATGCCACACTTCCTGAGCTCTACCTTAGTCTGCAAATGTCTGCAAAACTTTAAGATTTGCCCTTATTTGAATTTTAATGTTCTTCAAATATGGTTTTTTAGTTCCCACTAGAGCTGGCAGCACAACTGAAAAATGGTAAGGGACTTTCCTTTCCCATGTTTGCTGGGCAGTTTGTCAAGGCCATGGTCCCATTAAGACAGGAAGGAAGAGACGGGTCAACATATGAAGAATTACCGACTGACAGCAGAAAAGAGTGTCAGATGTGTGGGCAAGTGCAGTGTTTTTGTGTTTGTGTGTGTTTTCAATAACTTCTGAAAAATCTTGCACCCAAAATTACACACACAATTATTTTGAAAGCTGTCCAGTGCCCATAAGACCAGCACTCACACTAATGAGAAACTTTTCAGAACTATTTTTCAAGCAATGACGTGTTTTTTGTTTTTGTTTTGTTTTGTTTTGTTTTGTTTTTTTGAGAGAGAGAGAAACAAGGCATACGGTCCTTAAAAACAAGTTACAGATTACACATCCAGTAAGGCAGCTTATTAAACTTATTTTAAACCCCCTGAAGTTTTGAAACTAGTGCAGGAGATGATTTAGGGGGTAATTTCGTGGGTTTCTTTCCCTTAGAGAACATCTGAGAGCAGTTTCTTTAATAATAAAGGGCAAAGTACAGGCAGTTGTGCAAACCGCAAAGGCTCCATCAGTGCGTGAGTGAAGGAGATCGCGTTTGAGGGGAAGAACTTCTCAGTATCTTTCACAAAAGCCATACCCCCGGCACTCGCTGGAGGTCAGTAATGTGGTCTCAGAGTGGAAAGCGGCCATTCTTAAGCTGGGCACATTCCGTGTGGGAGACATTATCTCCAATGAGTGTAAAGAGAACACATGTACGCTACGTGAGTTTGCAAGCTCAGAGGGACATGCTCTTGTCATCACATTTATTTATTTAGTTAGTTATTTAGTTATTTATTTATTTGAGGGGGTAGGCTTGAAAGCACAGGCTCTGATAGTGCTAAGCTGTTCAAATAGCCAGAAGGGATAGGGGATGCGACCCCTCACTAGCAAAATCAGATGTGGGCCCTAGGCAGTGGGTGGAGGGGTGGGCAGGGGAAGAATTAAAGAGGATTCCGAACCTTGGAGAAACTTAGCAAAAAAAAAAAAATTTTTTTTAAAAATATGATCATGAAACAAACAGCCACCACGTGGTCCATTTGTTGCAAGAGTAGCAGTTGCAGAAGCGCCCAGGTTAGAGCTAGAACTGGGCGCTGAGCGTGGAGTGGTGCTCTGGGAGCAAACAACGGAGTGAGTAAGTCTGGCTAAATCTGCTCTTCTGCAAATTTAATGCCCGGGGATCCCTAGAGGATCTCCTCCAAACTCATTCTGCTCCTCTTGATCGAGGGTGGGGCCTACGAGTCTGCATTTCTAAAACGCCCCCACATATTACAGCTCTTGCTGGTCCAAGCACCAATCTTTGAGTAGCAAGGGATTTGCTTATGAGAGCAAGGGCATTCTGGGCTAGGGACTTTCTGAGACGATAAACTTCTGGGGGTAGCAACGACCTTAACAGGGGCAAGGATAGAAACAAACTAGATGGGCAGGAATGGGCCCCCAGACTGGCCAGGGGAAGAAGAACCGAGGTCTTGAAGCCTTTACTCCAAGCAGGGTCCCTGGAGAGAGACTGGGAGCAAGGAGGCGCTCACCCTTGGCTCTGAATAAAAAAAGTCGCGAGAGAATTTTACGGGGACTACACCTGAGGGGAGAAATCAAACTCTGCACAAAAATGAACAATGATGCAAAATGTATAATAATGAGGGGGGGGGGACGTCGCGAGGGACAGGCTGGGCGCTCTGGGCAGGGAAAGGGATACGCACCTGCACGCTGCAAGCACCTGCACCCGGACACTGGGACGTGGAGGGGGGTGGCCTTACCTGCGCTCACCCCGGTCGGTGTAGACGTTGAGGAAGAGCCCCTCCCTGGTGTCCTGGTACACCGGGCCCGAAAAGCTGAGCTGCAGCTGGTAGCGGCTCCCTGGCTGCAGGGCCTCGCCCAGCTCCAGCACCATGTAGCTCATGTCCAGCGCAAACCAGACGTCGTCCACCTGCACGCGACCCACGGCGGCGTCTCCTGCGCCCGGGAGCAGCGGGCCCCGCACCTCGGCGCGCTCACAGTCCAGGAAGAAGCTGTGCAGCAGCAGCCGCGTGGTGGCCACTGCGCAGCGCACGGTGATGTTCACGCGGCCGGTGAAGCGCAGCGCCAGCTCCGACAGCTCGCCGGGCCGGAGCCGGGCCACAGCTCCAGCTCGTAGTGCAGCGGCACGAGCCAGGACGGCAGACGCAGCTGGTCCCAGGGCCCTGGGGGTCGCCAGCTGCGTGGAGTGGGGGCCTCCAGCTCCCCATCCCGGCCGGGCTTCTGGGTGGACCGCGCCTCCGCCTGCTCGCGGGGTGGAGAGGACGCGGCGTCGGGGTCCCCGCGGCCGTGAAGCTCCGACGGCGGGGCGCGCGCGCAGCGGCCGTACAGGGCGGCGAGGACCACCAGCGCCAGCAGGAGCGCAGCCGCGAGCCCCGCCAGCAGCAGGGCCACCGCGCGGCTCACGTAGAAGCCCGAGCTGGAAGGGGACCCCATGGCGGGGGTCCGGCGCCCGGGTGAGGTGAGCACCCAGACGCGGCCGCGGCGGCTCCAACCCCCGACGCGGAGGCTCAGCGATGGGACCCCCGCCCCTCCCGTCTTGCGCGGCCCCTCCTCCTCCTCTAGGAGGCTGGGAGACAGCGGTTGGGACCACGGTTTCCCCCTCCCAGCTAATCAGATCCAGGTGCCTGCCCACCCACCCCCGCCCCGCAGGAGCCTGGCGGGGAGCCCACCCGCCCCACCGAGGCGCCGCGCCCCATTGGGTGTGAAGGGAAGGACCTCGCCGAAGAGGCAGGACAGACTGGACCAAACTCGAATCTGGACACCTCCGACGGGGATATTCGGGTTCCTGGGATGTGTTGGGTGCCCGGCTCGGAGTTCGCAGAGTGGGACAGGTACAGAGCACCCCGCGCGCGCGCTTGGCTTGCCCTGAGCAGCTGCTGCGAACCCACCGGCGGGCACCACCCCGAGCTCGCGCGCTAGAGGGTGCGGCGGAGTCTTAAGGACCTGGGAATGCGCACTTAAATGACCCTGAGGGGGGCAGCCTCGCCGTCAGAAGTGGCTTCCGAGCCAAATCTTTGGCCCTAAACTCGCTTCTTGAGTAAGTTGGGAACTCGCGCAACCCAAGCAGCCGCTGCGAGGATGGAAATGAGGTCCCGGAGTCTTTTTGGCGCCTGGCGCTTGGAGCTTGGCTAGGGGGGCCGGAGGAGCAGGGGTAGGGGTGCAGGTGAGTAACAAAAAAGCCTGGGAACCTGGCGTCGGCGTCTCCCGGGTGATGGGGAAGGAAGAGGCGCTTTACCTCCCGAAGGGGTCAGCAGGGAAGCCACCGCTTAGCTGCACATCTGCGGGTGTTCAGAGCTGGACCTGGCGCTCCCAGCCCTCCTGGGGAAAAAAGAGACATCTCAACATCTGCGCGCTTCAAGCCGAGAGCAAAGGAGAATGCAGAGGCCAGCCTCTCCAGCCGGAATGCGCCTGGCTGGAACTGCTTCCCAGGCGGTGCCATAGCGGGTGAGGTCTTGGCGTGGCCGGCATCTGTTTGCTATTTAGCGGGTGCTCCCGGCGCGTCCTGGGGAGCCTGGGGACAGGGTACGAGTCTCCACGCGCGCATTCCGGCGAATCGGGAACGGGGTTGCAATCACTGAGGAGGAACTAGGGAAGAGACAGGATGGTCAAGGATCCGGTTGCTGGCTGAAGATCTGTGTGCGCGCATCTCGTCTTCAGAGTCGATTTTGTATTGTTTTTCAGAGCTTAGAGAATTTTGCCATCGCAGCTATAAAAACGGACTTGCTTTCCTGTTTTGAACCGTGTCTCCTCTCCAGCGAGGAAACTATTGCACCTGAGTTCAGAGACGGAGCAGACCAAGGTGATTTCTTGGGAAAGGTGTTGTTCTCCCACACTCGCCCCAACTGAAACGACTCACTTTAACAAAGAACCCCCCCACCACCACCAGTAAAACACGGAGGAAGAAGGAGGGGTCACCAGGTTCATCCAGATGTTTGTGCTGGGGTCTGTGGACCAGTACCTTATTCCAGGTTTGACTTGCTTTCTTCAGAAAAGGATTTTAAAATAAAAGTATTTTAAAATAAAAGAAAATCCCAGATCGAGCTAAGGGAGACCTTCCTTCTATTTCTCTCCACTCAATCTGTTATAAATCATGCTGACAGAATTGGGAGCCATTGAGCTAGCAGGGGTCTCTGAAATTGGGTCATCATTCAGATGGGGATGGTTACAGATGCCCAGCTAATTCATTATTGTCCTACCACCCACCCAGGACAATTTCTTGAAAGATTCTAGACTTCCAAGGAAGGGTAAAAAAAAGAGAGAGAGGGAAAAAAAAAGGGGGGGGGGAAGTTGGTAACAGAACTACTTCAAACTCAAACTCATATTAGAGGTGCCCCCTCAATTTTATAAAAGAAATTCTAGTGAAAAGTATATTTGTGGTCTTGGGTTTTTAAATTCCATTTCTCTAACATCGTTAAGGAAATAGAGATTCTCTACCACACAAAAAGTTTCAAAGTAATAAAATCAAACCAAATGTTCAGCAATTTAAATTTTATTTTAAAAGGAAAGATATCTTATAAAACATTTAATGTCACTGAAAAGAAGTTGCAAAAGAATATTCTGGCTGAGTTATCTTTAAGATAACACTATACTGGAAAATACTATCACATTAAATATATAACATCTCAATGAAAGAGTACTTCTAGGATATATAGATCAGTTGCCAAGAAAGCATGTATTAGAAAATTAAAGTTTTTTTTTTTTTTTAAATAAGCAGCTTAGAAATTCTACTTACTATTCAGATCAGCTAAAGCTGTGATTCTCAGCTGGGGATGCTTCTGGTGCCCCGCTCCCCTGCACATTTGGCAAAGTTTGAAGACATTTTTGGTTATCATAACTTTGGGATAAGGGTGTTACTGGTGTCTAGTGGGCATAAACTACAGGCACCACTAGACAGCCTATAATGTGCAGGATAGCTCCCCCAACAATACAGAAGTATCCCATCTAAAATGTCACTATTCAGAAATGCTTAGTTAAAGCAATAATCCAAGTTTTATATGCCATCCAAATTAAACTTTGTGCTTCGTCCTGTCTACCATTTTTCTTTCTCTATTTCTTGTTATTTATGAATCTCTATGATAGTTCATTATCCCCTTTGGGTCACGTGACTTTTTCTTCCTTAACTCTGAAATTTTAATTCTTTGAATGGGTGATATAGTCATAAGATTCAAAAATATAAACAATGTGAAATTTTATATGTTAAACTATCTTGCCTCTACCTTTTCCACAGTTAATAATTTTAAGGGTTTTTTTCCATGTATCCTTTCCATGTTTCCTTGCGCAAATCAAGCAAATTATATACCTTTGTATTTCTCCCCTTTCTTACATAAAAACAATTTTGTATTTTGCATTTGCATTTAACAACATATCCTGGGTATCTTCCCATATATCAATATGTGAATATATCGATCCATAAATATCTTTCCTATTCTTTTCTAAAGCTGCACAGTATTATATAGTATAAATATACTATTGCAAAGACTGTCCCAGTTTGGTTTTTTGGAAGGATTTACCAGACTCCACTGAGTATCTTCACATAGGTACAGCAAGAGAAAGAGAATATAGGCAAGTCTTAGTGGCCAGAGAGACACCCCAGAGAGAAGACCCATATTTGCATAAGTGGACCATACTGTGTCACCACATTAAACCACCAAAGTCTGTGAGAGGAATTTTGTTTACAGAAAGCGCAAAGGAGAAACTCTTTGGGAGGCCCTTTAAACAGCAACCCAGATTTGTCAGACCCATTAATCTTGTTGCAAATCATCAACAAAGAAACTAATCCTAAAGTTCTTCAGGGAGAATTTCAGATCTTACTCATCACATCGTAATTGATTGAGTAAAAAAGTAGATTTCCAAAAGTAAAACAGAATAAGGACTACTCTCTTCCATGAAAGCAGTGTTAATACTGGAACAATGGAAAACAGTGGAACACATTCAGTAGACTAGAAAAACTTTCAACAATCCAGGGAGTATATGTTCAAGAAAAATATCCAAATCTCAGTTAAAAAAGAAAAAGAAAAAAACAGTGAGTTTTAGGAATTATATCAATTTACTTTATTCTCATCTCCCTCTTGTTAGCTTTAAAAACCAATAGCTTGATATCAAGGTGAAAATCAGCAACTTGGTCACTGGAAGGAGCACTGAAGTGTTAAAGTTCCTTTCAAGTCTCATTCTCAGAGCATTGTCATTATTTGAACTATCTAGAACACTAATTCTCAAGTCTGTCTTTATTTGATCTGATTCACAGTTCACGTAGTGAGAATAGCGTTTCCCCAGGTGCACTGGTTGAAAGCAAACAGAGGCATTTGTTTAACTTCCCAAGGTGGGCAAATAATAAGTTCATCAGAAAGTTGAAAAGGAAAAGCTCAGGAATTAAATTATCTGTAGTGTACTTTGAAACATATTCCAACATATTCCTGAAAATCTAGAGAGGGCTATGCTCATGACGATGGCTATATGTATGCTCAACAAGACCTTAAGCTCTCACATCTAGCTAATATTGAGGCATTGCTCAAGCCAGATGTAAAAGCTAAAGTAGAATTGTCACCTATCTTGCTGGTTGTTGAAGGAATGCCTTGACACACTCTTAGAGTCACTTGGCAAAAACTGGGAGACTTACTGGTTCTAAGTATTTTTAAAAAGATTTATTTTTATTTATTTATGCACACAAGAACTGGGGTATAGGCTAGAGGTGCGGGGGATGGAGAAGGTTCACTAGAGACAGAGTGGGGAACAGAACAGGTGGATCTACTGAAATACACTGCTGAGGGGAGCAGCGGGCAAGACAGGAGAGGTCTGCTGCATCATGTGGGTCAGCTCCCAGGGTGGGAATTGAACTCCTGTTGTAGTGACTGGTGGTAACTTGATAATGCTGAGATTTAACCCCTTGAGTCATCAGGGAGGCCATGGTTCTAAGTATTTAAGGCAATCAGTGTCTAACCATTAGTTGAGCACTAAACATTGACATCATTGGCCACCACAAAGAATACAGACTTTACTGAATAAGTTCTGAAAAATCTCTAAGCAAACAAATGGCAACAAGCCCTGAAGAGATGAGATAAACTGACTTTTAGGGTTCCCACATTGTTTAAAATAGTATGTTTCCAACAAAAAATTTATTAGACATGCAAAAAAACTAGAAAGTATGTTCATACACAGGGGAAGCAGTCAGCATAAAATGTCCCCGAGGATTTTCAGATACTGATCTTATTAGACAAAGACTTTCAATTAGCTACTTTAAATATAGTAAATGAACAACAGGAAAATATTATTTAAATATATAAAATAAACCACTATAAATTAAATAAAGCATGATTTTAAATATATTAAAAACTAAAAGAAAGCATGGAATGATAGCTTATCAAATAGAGAATACCTGTCAAGAGATGGACTCTAAAAAAAGAACTAAATAGAAACTCTGGAGTTGAAAGTGCAAT